CAGTAAAATACATACTTTCTTGCCCTTTGTGGTTTGGTTTATCAAGAAAAACACCCATTCTCATTTAATGGGTATCTGATGTGAGTTTTGATACCATGACGTAAGTCTGATGAGCTCCAGTTCCCACCATCACAAACTCACTGTTGCTTTTCCTTCTTGCCTGCAGCTACTTAGGGGACGTTCTCTGTCCTGCCTCTTGTGTACTGAAGTGCTGACCCCACACCAGGGTTCCGATCGTGGTGGTATCCCCCAGAAGGCATCTCAGTAGTAAAAGCCACATTTTGTGTGCCTTGCTGCCAACGTTGGACAGTTTGCATTAAAGTCATTAAGATGTACACCGGAGGTAAGTAGAATGGGCCAAAAGCCAGTAGGTAAGGATTTGGGAAGCTGTTACATTATTTTTGACGTCTCACCACTACTTTTCAAGGTTTGAGATTGCCTGTACTCCATGTTACAGGTACTCCTTGTAGACAAGGAAATCCAAGGAAAATGCTTATTAAAAAAAAGGTTTATCTTTCTTTCCTTTGTGAACAGATAAAAAAGGATCTGTACAGCTGATACTAAAATACATTCACTTTGGCCTTGCACAGTAGCTTTTTTTTCATATAACATGTAATGGAAAAGCTAATTGACATTCTGTCATTTCTGTTTCAATAAACTGAACTCAGTGATGCCGCCCTCTAGAATCTGTGACAGCTGATCTGTTTCCAAAATAAACCAAGGAACTAAATTTATTTGCAAACAATGATTACCTCATTCTGGAAGCCATGCTAAGCCTTTTTTTCCCCCTCAACAACTGGTACAAGGAAAAATATTTAAAAAATACTTCCAAAGAGTTAAAGATCAAAAGGGAGACTATGTTTCTCAGGAAGCTACGTTTCACAGTGGAGAAAAATTAATCATAGGTAGTTTCAAATGTTTTAAAAATAAATTAGAAGCTCTGAATTAAAACAGCATACTGACAAATAAGACAGGAATTCGGTAAGCAAAACATAGTGATTATGAATGGCATGATAATACTCCAAGAAGAAAAATTGTATTAAAATAAAAATTTGAAACTTTTATATCATTATCCATGAAAGCATCTGAAAGCACATTAAAATAATTAGCGGATGCATGTTTTCATAGGTCTCCTGTAAAAGGAAAAGGATGCCAATCACCATTTCTTGGACAATACAGAAAAAAGGTACTGCGGAGAGCTGTCTGGGCGCCACAGGCTCCTGTGCCAGGAGTGCTGAGGGCTCCCTGGGTGGGTGCTGGCAGGGCCTGGCAGCCAGCACAGCTCAGGGACCTGGGCATCCCTAGCGCTGGGCATCAGGCACCTCCCTGATGGGAGGGATGTGGGTCCAGGATGGGACGTGGTCCCATGGGTGGGCCCGTACTGGTGTGGGGATGGCCAGCATGGCCATCAGTGTGGGAGATGTAGCTCAGGCAGGGGCCAAACGGCAGAGGCTCAGCTTAAGAGCATCTCCCACAGGTAGGGGTTGGCCCTGGCGTTGGCTCCCCACCGTCCCCAGTCACAGAAGGAGGGAAGGGGACAGCCTGCAGCTGCCCTGTCCCTGAGCCAGCCATGAGCTCTGGGAGCCAGCCCTCCAGGAAAGGGGATGCAGCCAGGGCCCCAACGCAGTTGGGACATCCCCGTGAAGGTCTGAGGATGAAACACTGGTAGCTGCTAAGACTAGATGCCTTTGCGATGTACAGATGCATCAGTGTTGAGCAATACTGGCTTGGACGGGAACCTAGGCACTCATTTCCAAAAAAGCAAGAGAGCAATGTGAAAATAAAGATTTTCGTTAGACAATGGGTTTCTGTCTGCTTGGGCTTTTAATTGGTTGACATAACTGTAAAAGCTTCGACTGCAGGACGAGTGTGTGTTTATTACACTAAAAGATCTTTGCAGATGGTTAATAGCCGTGCTAGTGACTGTATTATTTGCTGGTTCACTGATCGTGCCCGATTTTTGTTATAAAGTTGAACATGGAAATTTAACAGATGGGTATATTACTCAGAACCACATTTTATGTTGCATTAAACACGTACAGTGCATTTCAAATTAAACTGAAACATTTGCTTACAGCCAAAATGCCTTATTTTTGTTTACAGGTGATCTCCATTGGTTTTATTCTGAAAGGGACATACACATTCTACTCAGTAAATCGAAAAAGAATGTGTCTGTATTATTATTTAAGTAGATTTCACTTTTTACTATCTCATTAGTATTTTGGTTTGAATATAATACACTGGCAATTACTCTCTTTACTCCTTTATTAATATTTGAAAACTATATCATCTTGTTTTCCTTAGAGATACAGGAAGCAGCAAGATGGAAGAAACCCATCACTGAGCTGTTCTGTGACTGTATTTATGGTACAGGCTGATGCATTATGGAAACTTTTGGGAAAAAAAAAGAAGAGCAGGAGTTGGTTTTTAAATGTGCAGTAACACAGTGCTTCCGTCCTTATATCCCCCGAGTAGGCTGTTACCTGCATACATTATTCCTGTGCAAACTCTTCTATACATAAAATTTTGCATACTGTGTTTATCCTGATAAATAATAATTAAAAAAAACCACCCTCTTCTGTCCATTCCCTGAACATGTCCTTTCTGTTCAAATGCCTTCCTCTGTTCTTTCTTCCTGGATGTTCCACCTAGAGATGATGATCCTCAGGTAAAAAAAAAAACAGTTTCCATTAGTTTATTTGGAGGAAAGAATCGCACAGTGCTGAGCTGGTGTAGTGGGAAAAAAAGAATGTACCTGGAGTAGAAATGAGAGGAAAATAGAGGAGAGACAACTTCCATTCCCTCAGGGGTTGTACTTCTCCTGACTTTTCCATTGCCTGCTGAAAATGCAATTCATTTCACTGTCCCACAGTCTTATTACCTTGGTGTTATTTTTATCTGTATCACTGTTCCTTATTATTTGCCTTGTTATAATGCCTAGATACCTCAGCCAAGATCAAGACTGTACAAATATGGCCTGAATCTACCAGTAAAATATTGCAAATTCTAATGGTAGAGGCAGGAGTAAGAACAGAGAAAGCAAACATTATTGTTTCAGCTTTATGGAGAAAACAAGGCAGAGGCAGACTAAGGGAGATGTGCCTGCATCTGGGGGCCTAGTGCCAGTTTGGATGTCCCACTGTTCCCAAACGAGACGGCAGAAGTGACAGCCACAGTCCCCCGGAGGCTGTTGGGGACCCGGCTGGGAGCATGGCGAGCTGCCTGGGGTTAGATAGCCAGACGCCAGCGGTCAGCTCGCCTGGGGTCCCTTGCTCAAGGTTGTTCAAGGAGTACCAAGCAAAGCTGTGCTTGAACATAAATCCCTGGAGCTCCACTTCACTGTCTTAATCACAAATTAATTCTTCCTGTTTTCAGCTTCTCTTTTTTCTTTCTCCCAACCACCTACACTACTGCTGTTACGAAGCAGAATATCCTTTCCTGCTTTAAATTTTAATTCTTTCTGTTTCAATCTTTGTTTTTTGGCTCCTGGCCCCCTCTCTCGCTCAGCAGAAGGCTGAACGCTACCTCAGTTGGGGGCTGTGTCATATAATGCTCTCCACCCTTTCTGCTCTTTTGTCCCCATCTCCTCCCACCCCCAGCATGCCAAACAATGCTAATGCACTCTGAAACGCGGGGATCAATAGCCTTTGCAATTTTATTTTAGCTACTGTGCCAGTAGCTGTTGGTAGACACACAAACAGGTGATGCATTAAAAAACTCCTGTCTGTGGAATACCCACTCGCAATCAGCTCTCCAAATTACCTACGTGTGAAAGAAACACTCTTTCAATTCGAATTAGATGTATTCCCTTTTAAAAGTCCCGTTATACATTTATTTTGGGCAAGATTAAGTAGAAAAGAATGACCTTCTTAGCACACTCTATTATTCTCTACAGTCACATCTTTCTTTCTTTTCCTGACATTAAGAAGTCATTCCATTTCTGTGTTGACATTTTTATCTTCTCTTTATATCCTTTCCAAAAGCCATGTTATTTATTGAAATTTTGCTGACAAACAAAAGGATGAGTAAGAAAAATGGCATAAATCCCCACATACAGAAAATGGCAAGGGCATGCTGTATTCCTCTGATGCAGACAGGTAACTTTTTAACATTCATTTCTCACTTCACTGCTTTAGTTCCACTGTCTTTTCCTTCTTGTTCTGCTTTAGTTCTCTTTTACCCGGTATTTTGGACTCATCTGTTTGTTCTGACATTTCCTATTTTTTCATTGTTTGTGATTGCCCCTTCTTTCCTTAGAATTAGTCTATTTGACTAACTCTGTCTCCAATTCTGTTTAGTCTCTCTGGCAACCCCTTCAGGTATTACTTTGCTATAAAAAATATATATATAGAATTCCTTAACTCCACAGTGCCTGTAGTTCATCAAAATGTCACTGTTAATGTGGTATTTTTTGGTTTACATCACCAAATCTGGATGAATCCATGATATTTACCTACTTAACAACCACCCTGTGAGTGAAAGTAATTTTTGGGTTGGGGGATCTAATGCCAAGCTCAATGGCTGGCACTGGCTTAGCTACTGCAGAGCCACCAGAACAAAGATTTTCATGAGAATGGGTACTAGTGGATGATGAGAAAAGGTATAATGATACATAGCTCTTATTCCACTACAGGAAGACAGCCTCTGAAAATGCACCTTTCTTAAAGCAATGCTGTGGAATGCAGTGTTGTTCTTTGTCCCGAGTGTATCTATCGCGTGATCTCCATAATAGATGCAGGCTGTAGGAGGACCCAAAGGGCTTTAACTGCGCCTTGCCCTCAATTAGTTTGAACGTCACTCTTCTGCAATATGGGGCTGTGGCTTTTCTGCAGAGAGCGTATTGCCCGAGCAGGTCTCCAGCCAGGCCCAAAGGTGGGACTGGGTGTTTGGTGTATCCTCCAGAGAGCTTGACAGCCCATCGTGGGCCAAGGAGTGCTAGTTTGGTTCTCTGCGCTCCTTTGGTCTTCTAATTAAATGTCCACGCCAAGAAAGCCACCGCTATGGAAACATGGCTGGTGATGGCATTGGCTGAGGTCATCCAGGTACACCCTCATCTTGAGACTACATGCGAAGCAGCCAGTGAAGATGACGGGTGGTTTCATCACACTTTGAATCTAAATGTGGCTATGGAAGAGCATATGGCTTCACAATTGTTTTTTGAGGTTGGTTTTTTTTTTTTTCCTTTCTCTTTCCCCACACAGGCAGTTGCTGTCATTTTCACGAGATGAAATGTGCACTGGTGTTATACTTGATGCTGAAATTCACACATACTTTCCTTCAGCAGCCCCAGCCAAACTTTAAAGAATTTCTAACCACTGTGGGGTTTGTTTTTAGAAGATATTTGATCATGATGCATTTTAACAGGTTTAATTTTGAAAATGAGGTGATGTAATGAATTTGAGAAAAAGCCAGCCGCAGAAGACTTCAGAGGGCTAATGCTTCACACTCAAAGAACAACTGTTGACTGTCTGTTCTGCTGAGCTTTTACAAGAGCGATCTTTTGCAACGAAAAACCCTGTAAAGTAAAAAGAACCGGACGGGGGTCGGGTCCTCCCCCGGGGTGTCCGGGCTGAGGGGCCCTGTCAGCGCCGGGGGGGCCGTGACCAGCGGGGGGCCGAGGAGAGACCACCTCCCGCCGCCCTCGCCGGTGGGGTGGCCGTGAAGGGCAGGACGGTTCGGCCGCCCCGGTGAGGGCAGGCTGTGGCGGCGGC